CCACAAGGGGAAAAAATGGTTTAGAATTTTCGCAGGTGATTCTAAATAGTATATACAAGTTTGCCTATGTTTAAGAAGCTCTTTTTATTTACTTTTTTTTTTTTGTGTTCTTATAAATATGTATTATATTACTGTAATATAATTTATTCATTTATATTTTGTATGAATATAGCGTGAATATGCTCTTTCATCCCTGTCGTAGTTTTTCTTAATTTGGGAAGAATATGATATATGTTTGATAATGAAGGTTTAACAAAAAAAAAAATTGCATTTAAATGTACGTTTAACATTGGTTAATATTTAATATAATGTTTATTATGTATAATAGAAACGTCCGTTCGTATTTTGGATTGAAATCTGAAACAGTCAGACCCGTTATATCTCATCTCGCCAGGGAAGGAATTCAATTATCCCGAAGTCCCTTTAGGCTATCTCTACATGGACTTTTTTTGGCCAGACATTTTTTAATAGATATAGTTTTCATAATTAGTACTTGTATATTTGTTTTAGCGAGTTTGTGATTTCCATGGCTTTACGACTAGGTACCTATGATTCTAAAACTAATAATGAAATTCGCAGTCTCAGTCGTACTTTCTGGAGTGAAGTATGTCATAAATACGACGAAAATTTGATTTGACAAAAATTTACAAACAAATGAAGATTGACATTTAGTCATGTTTAAACAGAGCATATTGATTAACAGAGCATTATTTAGAGGGAACTGCAATATCATAATTAATCAAAATTATATAATATAGTTATATTATTTTAATTATTGGATTTATTTTCACACATGATTGCTATCTAACTGAGTATAAATAAGGTATAGACATCAGTTGTCTCTCTGATAAAATTTTATATTTTTATTAATAAAATTTTTTTTTCCAATTAAGGTATCATCATGATATCAGAACATAAGTTAATCCTTTGTGATAATATACATTTGAGAGAGACAAAAACCCGAAGAACTTACTAGCAGATACTAGTGCGTAGATAAAAATGAATTGTTAGTTTAAAATAAATAACGAAACAAATATATATATACACACACATGTATATGTACAGACGAATCCCTTCATCAAAGGAAGGTGGGGAGTGCCAACAATAAAATAATGTAATTTAGTTCTCATATAAAATCATAAATAGAATTTATTAGCAGAGTTTAATCAGTCTTACACCTTATTTGTATTTCTAATATAGTCTAAGTCCATTTATCGTCATCGAAGAATACCTTACTTAGTTTCATTACTTGATCAGAGGTAAAGTATTAAATATATCATATGCTTAAAATAATTAATTATTAACGTGACCTAATCTAATGTCGATTTATTTAAATATATTTATGAATACGTTGATACTTAAACCGATAGTTTTCTTTACTCGAGCGTACGCTTATAACTATTAAATCCATAGTTATAGAAATACCAACTGTGCCCTTATGATAATAGTTTTCTTATTTTACTTTTTTTTTGTAGGGATGTTCTAGGTCAATACTGGGATGAGATTGGCAAATATATTTTATGAAATATATTCACATAGCATTACAATTTTGATGTTTTGGGAATATATTTTCCATCAACTACCTAGAGTTTTTGTCAGATTCTTTTCTACAATATGAGGACTAATTATAAATATATTGTTACTCTAATATTAAATCGCTATGATTTAAAATTTAATTTATGTGTTTTGTTGTTGCTATCTCTTAATTACAATAAAATTGTTTTTATGATTTTAACACCATTAGGGGCAACATTTATCTTGGTTAACAATTGGTAGGATTTATAAAGAAATTAAATTATCTTTGTCATTTTCTTTCTATTTTCCCTTCCCCAGAGGACTTATAGAGAAACAAATATATAAATAGAATGGAAAATTATAAATTATCATATTTTAAAATGATTAATAATTTTTTTTATTTTTTTTAAGCAATATGAATACTATTCCTATACTGTACTAATCTGAATAACCTGTACTAACTTCACTATTACAACTAATGATTTGAATTATAATTTTTTATTTCGTTCAGATTATCACTAATTTGGGTCAGATAAACTCTCGCAAAGGACTATCAACAAACCAAGTGGCAAACATTTTCTACTTCTTTATTTTTCCACGAATAAAGAAGGCAAACACGGGATGGATCAGTCCACAAATATCTCCCTCCCTCCCCCCTCCAAATGTTAATATGATCTCGAGGAGAAAATGTAAGCCAGAGTTGATGAATAATATTAATGAGGCCGGAACGAAGAGACGGACAGACAGATATATACGTGTATGTTTGACTAAGGTGCAGGAGGAGCTGCCTGTGTATAGACAGCTTGTGTATATATACAGAGCCTGATGGAAGCCAGCCACCCACTTCACCAGGGAGCCTCGGCCCTTCTCCGATTGTTCAAACAACCGCCACGATTCTGCATTCCAAAGAGCTCATCTCTACACGGCGAAATAATAGGGTATGGTGATGCATAGGGTATGGAATCAAAGTGGTGGAAGCATGCATAGGTAAAACATATCATTACGCTTATATTCCATTACTATCACCTTCAGAGAATTTTGTTACACTAAGGTCTGACTTAGAAATGGAACACCCAATCACTGAGACATAAGCAAGAGCTTAGGAACAGGAGGGCGATTAACTTAAGAGTCTAGAAACTAGTCTTAATATCATTATTTGTTTCTTTCAGAGAATGTCGGAGACTAACCACCAATCTGTCACTGTTAATCAATGTTCCATAAATTCGCTTTTACATGTTTACTATTTTATTTCTGACTGTTTCCACGTTGGAAGAGAACAATTAGAAATGCTTTCCCCCATAATGAAGTGCTGGTGGATACCTTAATGGATTGAAGAGCAGCAAACTCCGTCGTTTAAAAGAAACAAAGTTGGGCAGCAACACAAGCTAAATAGATCAGAATTTTTGAAGTTTTTGGTGATCATACCCTCTAGGCACGGAGCAAGCAAAAGAAGCTTCCTTCTTTGTTTTATGTACTGTTTACGAAAAAATATCTTTACATGACTTACAACAATAAATAATCGGTAGGTACGTAGAGCAGCCTAATCGATAGGATAGCTTAATCGATAAGGAATGGATTGCTAACTACAAGGCTTAAGTTCAAGTTCAGCTTTGGCAGAAAATTATTCTTTCTTTTATAACAACTGGAGCGAGCTGTGAGGTAATTGGATACACCTAAATTCTATGAAATGGGTACTTTCAATAGATTAGAAGGGATTTTGGGGATTTAAAACCGCAATACTGGATACTGAATCCAAGACCATTTATGAATTGTAGTAGTTAATGTTTATTTTATTTAAAAAAATAAAATAAAAAAAACTGTACCTCTACAATCCATGAAGGGTCTTGGGTTCAGTACTATTTCTCGGTCAACGGTTGTGAAAGCAGGTGATTTGACCGAGATCACGCACAATAAACTAACGCCAGGATTCCCGCTTAACTGATTATTTACTTATGAGTACCCACATTATAGCATATTATAGAGGAGACTGGGTATGCCTAGGAGGGTCTCCTGACCCTAGGGACGATCCACAGGCGATGAAACAGAATAAGTAATTTTTCTGCCATAACCTAGGTTTCGAACTGGGGACCTTGATCATTGGAAGATCAGCACCATATCACTGAGCTACTCCACTCCCATTTTATTTTTAAATCGATCTAATTAAAAACAATTCATGTCGAAAACAACGATTTACATGTTTTTATTATAATTATTGATCATGGTCGTTTAAAATTATATACTACGAAGAATCAACGAAGCATATGTGAACAAATAAAAATAACTGGATTAAATATTTTTTTTAAGTTGAAAAGTTAGAAATTGCTTCTATAAACAAGTAGTCCGTGATACAGGCCCTTTTCTATCAAATTATCAACACCCGCCTGAAACTTAGTAAATAGTTTCACCTCATTGTACCCTACAACTACTTTATTTAGGAAAATTCTCGGCATTGGGTCGTTTTCAATCTGGAGATCGGCAAACTTTTTCTATTTAATTAGTTACTGAAAACTCCTAAATACTCATTTGCTTTCTACTTGAATCGTAAGATAATTTGATAACGAAACAGAGAAAAATGTGATATATAAAAATATTGGACCGTTTGGCGTGTCTTACACCCCAAACATTTCAAAATAACTATGTTACATACGTCAAACGGCCAAATATTTTAGTAGAGCACCTTTTTTCTCTATTTTGTTATTAAATTATCTTACGATCAAAGTGAAAAGAAAATAGGTATTTACGAGTTACTTAAATGGTCCTAATTACGACCATGATGTCTTAATTAAGACCTAATTAAATAGACAAAGTTTGGCAATCTACAGATTGAAAAAACCCCAATTCCAATAGTTTTCGTAAATAAAATAGTTGTAAGTTACGATGAGATGAAGCTATTCACGAAGTTTCAGGCGAATGTTAATAATTTGATAAAAAGGGGTCTGTACTACTTAATAAAGTAACAGTCGTTTTATGACTCAGTATTAGTCATTTAAACATCCGAGATACAAATCAGTGAGCCAAAAATAAGATCATGGCGATTTTACCGGTATTTCAGACGTTGCGAGCTCCGTTACAGTATTAATTAATCCGTTAACAGTACACGAACTAATTAAGTAGTTGTATCGTATAAATAATTAAATGTGAAAATGGATAAAAAGGTCTAATAAAATATTCTAATCTGATAAACGCCAATTAGGAAAAGTGTTTCTAATTGTTAAGCTTAGTTATACATAAATATTTGGAAGCCTTGCAAAATCAGGCTACTGAACCAAATTGAACATTGCGTAAGTTAGACTGCCGACAGCGACCATGGACTTTCACTGCTCCACCTTACCAACTTGTTCAAGAGGGATATCCCATCAGAGAATCTAGTCAGTTTTTATCTAGCCTTTTCTCTAATCTTATAGATTTATATAATAAATTTGTCTCAAATTTTCAGTAGGTAAGTATCCTAGGTTAAACTGTAAAAACACTCGAAAGAAACTCACCAAGTATGGTTTCATTGTATTTCTCCCTGGCTTCGGGACTGTCGACGTGATTGCACATGTCTTCGTGACAGCAGAGCAGAAGGGATCCCTCTCTTCCAGTTCCTGAAGCCGGCACGTTCTGACAAGTCCTCCCCTTGTCCCTGAATAACAGGAATATACAATTAGAACTCTATGGTGAAGAAGCATAACGATGAACATTTGTGATCTATGAAATGAAATCATGGACTGAATTACATTATTCGCTAAATAATCCATAATTCTATTACTTGTCAGATAAGCTTATTTCAGGCTAAGAGTAGAAATGGTAGACTTACCACGACAGAAAATCAAGGCAACCATGGACAGCTTGGCTGAAATCTTGGTTGTCGTTGAGGTCTGAAAAACAGCCCATACCATCAGACCTGCACAAGTAGTTTGTTGTGACGCAATCAGGCATGTTGCAGAAACATATCACCCCTAAAACACAGTGACATAATCATCAGTTAACTAGCACGTAATTATAGATATATTTAATAATTTAGTTTAATGCATAAGTTAAACTTAAATAAAGATAATAAATTTCCCTTTGACTGCTAGTCTCTCGACAGCCTAGGTGTTATTACCCTTCCTAGAATAAAAACACCAACAAAAATTTTGATGACACAAATTGCATCATGCAACCCCCTTCTGGGAACACTTGCGCCATGAAGTGCCAAGTAGAAAGACGCGGTTGATTCTCGGTCTGTTTACTCTTAAAGAGGCAGGTTGCTAAGTATTAGGTTTTATTATGATAAACATGCACATGTAAACATAAAGCTGTGATAAGACTACTGAGCGTTGAATTTTTGGAGCTGCCGGCAAACTGTGAAGAGAACTCAACTTCTAATAATACTAATAATAATAATCTTGACAAACATTCAACTCGAATGTCAACAATAAACATATATACCAACAAAACAAAGAGAGTTAACCTGACAAAGGAAACAAGAAGGACATCGATATTTAAGGACACGGAAAGAAAATAAGACAAAGAAGCGATAGAAGATATAAATAGGAAGGTGAAAGATAAATTAGGACAGAGGTCAGTAGGTCTTCTGACAGTAGTACCAACTGTAAAATTCAATTCATATAATATATTTAAACATTAGAGCATGAAATGTTAAGGATATTGGGAAAAATTTTATTTCACTAGTAGGATACATGAAAGATTTCCACTATTACACAGTTGAATCAAGGCGCCACTTGGACGCCGAGACGGAATCTCTTTTGAACTCATTTCGTGTTTGCAACGGTTTCTAGAGATCTATCAGACGTCTACAATAGCCGGAGGATTGTAAAAACGAAATAGTAGATTACAGATAACCAACAACTGTCTTTAGATTTGAAAAGTAGTCTGGAATTCGATCCATTAATGATATTTAAATTTAAGACAAGCCATGAATAAACTTTATAACTCAATAAGTCGTATTTTTAATTTATTCCTTTTTCGAGATTAATAAATAAATAAATAAATATGTAAATATATATATATATATATTTATATATAAATATATAGATTTTAAAAGAGCATTTTGCTGTTGAAATAATTCTCGCCAAAATTTACAGGAAGAGTATATCTGAAGTGATGAAGTAATCGCTGACGTCACATTCATTAAACGAATTAGCTAGAGGCGCCGCACTTGAGCTCCACTGCCTTTAGTATCAACCCTAATATTGTAATTTACCCTTTGAATATTAACATATATACATAAATAAATATACATGTAACTTGTATACGGCACACATATAATATGGGGTATCTACTCCTTGCAAATCAACTCCTCTTGTCAGTATTCAATTATTCAACTATTCAAGAGACAAAAAACATACTTATAACTCTACTTTATTTACTAATCTATATTATTATTATTATAGAATATGCTAATGTATTGACATAGAACTTCATACATATGCAAGTGACTATGAAACTGATTTATTCAGCTATTTTATTTATCTTATGTAAATAATAACCAATAATGTATTACCGAAAAACATAAATTTTCCAGTTTTGTTTCGTATCTGATCAGATGTTTACAATTATGGTACTGCAATTGGGTATGGTTTGAAAATGATGACATGCCATATCAAAGTATTTGATTTAATTACTTCAGGTAAAGACAATATTGGTTTAAGCAAGTAACTTACTTCTATAAATCAATATTATTATAACGAAAGATTTGATCTTTGTTACTTTTTTTCTGGGAAATACCTAGTGAATAATTAAACATTAATATAAACTATAATTCTACATTTCTGTACTATTTTTTTTTTTTAATTGCTTGTTATCATAATGTATTTTGGTCTACACTAGTTTAAATTCATCAAATTTCATCAGAAACTTGGAAATACTTTATCGATAAAACAAGAATTATAACAATAAATAACTTAGGATTTTTATTTTAAATTTAGAATTTACAATTCGAATGCTCCTTTAAATCTCAAAGAAGAATATTAATAAGTAATGACAGAAAAAATTAAAGTGGCAAATTTGGTTCAGAAATACACCAACATTTAAGAAATACCTATTTATTTTTTCAAGAGAACTTGCACTTCTAATACCTATTAATTTTTAAATTAAATTGTTTGTATTTAAATCAGTTAATAAAATAATTGTACAAACATTAAGTAATGATATTATTAATTGTTAAAAAATATCTGCGTGAAAAAAAATTATAAATTTAAAAAACATATCAATACAATTTTAATTATTCACATTAAAATCAGTTTAAAAAATAAATGCACGCAAATTTAGCAGCGATGTGTTGATTATTAAAAAATATTTGTGTAAAAAAAATATAAATGCATAATTAATAAAATATGTTTCCCTGAGTTATTTAATTTCCACCAATTTTCTGACGATATTATTTTATAGCAATTACTAACTTTTTATTAAGTAATTACCTATTTATTTTTATCAAGGTTTATTAATTATGGTAATTAGGTATACCCATGGACCATGGTATATATAATACAGAGCCACAGAATTAATTACCCTCAGTTATATATCTTTAAGGTAGGGAGTGCTTTATTTTGTAGGGGCAGGTTTCTGACCGGTTTCTCTTAAGGCCAGATTCCAGAGGTCTGGTCTTTATCATTGCTTGCTCGCAATGTCTCTTTAGCGAGATAGCATCGGCGAATTTCTACTGCCGACAGGTCAATGGTATTATGTCTATGTCTACAGTCAGCTTAGAATGCGAAGTAAAAAATAAAATAAAATGAAAGAGAAGAAGCAAAACAAAAACAATATATTGTTTGTCAATTCTTTTGAAGGAATGTACGAATAAATTTGAATTTAATCCGAGTAATCCAAAAAGATAAATGTTAACAACTAATTGAGCTTGACGGAGAGGCATTGACGGATCAAGAGGGTGGCTTTCGAGGTAGGCGCCCCCTAAAAAAAAGTTGTGGATTGATGGTTGACTATAGTGAATAATTGAAGAGAAGATTAGTTGGAGTGTTCAGTTAAAAAAATGTAACAATAAATAAATTATATTTATTTTTATTTTTGCTGACGTTTCGGCCCATAGTCAAGGCCTTCATCAGAGCTAGGGAAAGACTAGATACAAGGGGCATGAGAAACTATTAAGATTAAAAAAAAAATTATATGTTGGTGAAAGGTATATCCTAAAACATGTAGGTATAATAAACTTAAACTCATCTATTTTAACATTTTTTGACATAACACCCCAACCAATCTTCCCTTAAAAAATAAATTATTGTAATGGTTTATATTTTTATCCTGTACAAGACAAGATTGTTATATAATGAAATATATAGTTATTTCATATTTTGAAACGTATCACCACTATATTGTAAATACGAAAGATACGAAGAACTAAATGTGAATCCCGCAGTAACCGTTTATTGTAAGGAATCTTTCATATCGTTGACCGTGAATAGTATTCCACAAAAAACAGACACTTTTTCAATGGCTTTAATAATTATAGCTTTTTATTAATAATATTTATCACCCCTCATTCTGGAAAGTATTTCTTGAACTCCAATAATTTTTTATTTCTTAATTACTACTAAAAAAACTCAGAACCCAAGTAATAAAAAAATCGAAAATAAATTAGCACGCAAGCTTATGAATGTTAGATTCATAAAACAAAGTGAATATGGATAAAAATTTAGAAGTGAATTTTTCTGAATTGAACTTTCAAAACTTTGAGGTCAATCATAGTAATTATTGGAAAATCTTCAGCAGCCACCAGACTAATCAGTGATTGATTGCATTTTTTTTTTTTTCCAAAATGGCCTTCAGCAGTTAATGCCTATCGGAATTGATACTTCGAAGAAGAGGTAAAAGAAAGAAAATTATTGATTGGATAGATTTTATACAGAACTCAAGGAATTGATATAATAAAATTAACTTATACTTTATTAACATTTCCTGGAAAAATAACATTTTATATGATACATATAATAAATAGCTATTTGCATTTTTTTTTAAACTTTAATTTATGCAGAAAACTTTAACTGGTATTTAGGTTGAATTGAAGAAGGTCCATTTCTTCCAGGTTCGAACTGGTATTTAGAATTTGATTGATTAGACAACCTATAAAGTTTATTAATATAGCCTGAATTCAAACATGGTCCATAATATGTTTTGCTCACGTTAAATTAGCTTGAGTGTTAGCCTTGGTATTTAAATCAACCTCAAATTTTTTTCTCGTTCCCATAACTGATTTTCAAATGTAGAACCGGTTTAAATAATTTCGAAAGTGTTGTTAATATATTTGATTCGTTAAGGTTTATCGATATAAAAGTGAATGAGTAAATGCGAGTAAATGGAGGGTGTGATCTGTCTTTTACTATGTATAATCTTTACTTTCCGTTTGTATCTTGGCAAAGTTGATTTGATCGGGCTGTGAAGTTTACTAAACTGCAGAAATAGCCCAAAGAAGAAAGTCTAAATAACGGGTTAAACGAGTAACTCTCAGTAGAAGTGGCAGTATTTCAAGCTCTCGCCCTATCATGGAATGGACTGTTTACTCTCCGGCCCCCAAACTTAAACAAAGCGGGAAATATGTGCGCAAACATCGGATGAGATAGTGCTTTAACAATTACAGGTCGGGATGGGACCAACAGGCCCACAATGGTGGAATGCTAATATTGGCAACGATATATCTCGCTGTTTCCAGCTGCTTCTATTCCTCCCACTAATTGCGAAGATATTTCTGACATCACCAGACTTTCCTGGAGCTTTTTCTTACATTTCTGCCTTTCATTTCATTATCCGGATATTTGCTGTAAATGAGTTAATCTAAGAAGTATGCCAAAGGTATCTCAAATTTTCCCCTTAAAATAATTGTTATAGAATTATATTGTTATAGTCAAAAACTGAATACATACAGATATCTGCTGAAACCGGTATGAACATCAACTACAATATCAAACTATAACCATTTCAATCCAAAATTTTAAGACTAATAAAAGCAGCTTCCAATTGTCCCAGCTCCAAAATTGTTTTATTTTGGCCAGATGTAGTATTTTACTTATGTTCTATTTTGTTATTCTAAAGGGACTTTGTCCCAGCATAAAGTTATTTTCTATTCTATTCTATTCTCCCCGGTACGTAAGCAAAAAAGCTTTACATACGATTTACGACAACCTACTATCGACCAAACATATACAAACTCTTTACACAGTATTTCATATAAAGCACACGAACACAATTAGTGTTGCCCAAAATTGGTCTTGGTCTTGCAAAATGCAAGACCAAGACCAAGACCAATGCTGCCTAACTGTTGCAAGACCAAGACCAGGGGACTGGTAAAAAAAAAAGTAGATTTTTAAAATAAAAATTAAGACAAAGTAGTAACTAATATTCGACAATTTTAATTACTAGATGTTAATGATAGCTATAACCAATATACTTTTGCATTTAACTCCTCTAATTTTTCATTCGGGCTTAGTTAGGTTTCTCCTATCTAAAAAATTACATTACAAAGTTCTAAAGTAATAAGCGAATAAGTAACTGCGAGACTCTTACGCCAGACCACGACCATGACCAAGACAGAGTTTGCAAAACCAAGACTCGTCTCGGTCTCGCATTTGGGCGAAACACAATAATAGACTTATAAACAACATAGGTGTAAATTATGTGAACAAGCGAAAATGGATGCAGATCACCTAAACAAATGTCCTGCTTTGTTGACGGAAATTAGTAATAAAACATATGTAAATGATTATATAAAAAAAATCAAACTTATACTGGGCAGCAAGATGTCGGATGGTCGAATGACCAATGACTATGGCATAAGAAAAAAAAAACAACAACTTATAAACAACATGGCCATTCTAGACATTCTCATAAGGAGGGAGGCGAATGAAAAGGAGCTGGTTGGGAGACATCCTTTCCTGAATTAAGGAAGGAAATAAAGACCAGGAAGAGGTGCTGCTGGATACTAAACTTCGTTATATCTGGAAAATGCCAATTTCCAAATTCACATTCAATACGAGCTTATTATCAACCTCATGACAAGAAATTTGAAGTGAAAAAAGAACTTCTAACAATTTTATTATAATGGTATGAATAGCACATTGAATATTTGAGGTTTATCATGTGATAGATATTTTTTTGTGAATTAACTGGGAATGTTTTCCGGAATTTAGAAAAATAAAATTGTAATTACTGCCGAAACAAATATTCGAACGACATAAGAATAAAGATTTGTTTTTAAAATGTTTTTTTTTTATTATTTATTTAAAGTAGTTATTAAGATTTTTTTCTTTTAAAAAACAAAAAAGTGAGTAAATGTTCCTATTTAAAAAAATATATATATTAATTATTTTTAAAGTTTATTAAATGGAAGATTATTTGTTTGATTTACGCTCGCTCATCGCTGCCCATTAAGATCCAACAAGTTTGAGCCTGTTCGCCGTAATCTGTTGAATTTTATCTCTATCTCAAGATCAAAGGTCCACAGATGAATGACGAAATGTTACGACCTATTTGATATTGTGTTTATAATAATATTGAATGTCCCCGAATAATATTGAAGGCCTGGGCTTCAGATCATATATGTAAATAGTGCACCAAGGACTTTATAGGGAATTCATTTAATTAGTTTGGAGGACGAGATAATAACAAAAACATACGACAACAATAAATTAGCGAAGTTGCGGACTGAACTCGGGGTATTAGCATAATCCTAGGCTGCAATATCTCACGACAAAGGTGACAAATTAGTCGGTGGGGACAGTGCGAATGGAAAAGCTGTTGTCCCGGTCTTGTTCTGGCACATATCTCACTGAAAATAAATATAGCGGAATACATCAATTATACAGATATACAAATCCCGTGTTGAGAATTAATTCAGATATATTTCTCGATATGTCATCGAAGGCTTAGAATTAAATATTCGAGTATGGTTTATTGTTATCTGAATATATATCTCTTCCTTTCTTTGTTTCAGTTTTTTATTTAAATATCATTTCCATGAGCGACATTTTATGGGATACAACCGGATTATATAAAATAACTCTTTACCATAAAATATTGTCGGAATATATATTAGGAAAACTTTTACTTTCATTTACCTAGCTACGAAATTTAAAGTAAGAAGAAGCATTGCGATTTTAATGTCCCCTGAGTCCAAAAAAATAAGTATGCCAAAAAAGTCTGTAAACGAAAAGTTGTAAGAAAATAAAATTTAAGGTAGGTATATACGTACTATATACCTTACTTTTTTACTTTTAAAACATTTTTGCCAAGAAATGGCAATTCTTATCATCGATCTTTATTAAACTCGTTATTTCCAAAATGTCTTCCTCTAAAGAACCTTTAATTTTGTAAAAATAATTAACCTTTTCATATTATAACTAAATAAAAAATAGATAAATACGAAATTTGAATGAGACTGATAATTAACTAAAGGAGAAATAAAGGTTAGTCCTAAATAGAACCTCTTAAAGCACTAGCGGATCCAGGATTTAATTTTTGCTGGGGAGCTTCAGCCCGAAACCTTTTTTTTTTCATAAAAATGACGAAAATTACTTTAGAAAAAAAGAAACTAACTACCTATATGAAATGGTGTTTAAGTGATACCTAAAGTCCTTTTAAATGTAATTACACGAACAATAATACTTTAAGAGATATATTTTTTTTCCATAAAACATATCCATAAACATATATTTTACCATTTTTTGGAGGGGGGGGGGCTTCCGCCCCAAAGCCTCCTCTCCCGTGGATCCGCCCCTGTCTTAAAGCGAAAATAACCGATGGCCTCCGACTTTTACCGATCCTCTTCTAAACTACTCACGTCTCTACACGGCCTTTCTATTGTTATTTGTTGTTAGTTGAACTTTTCACATATTTTGCTAACATATAATCTTTAAAAAAGCCTGACAATATTTTTTTGTTAAGTAATTAATTGTTTTAAATGTTATACGGACTATAATTGTTGACCTTCACTTTCCTATATATGAAAATATCTATTTCTACTATAGCTAGATCGATAAGTGAAATTTGTGTTATGCGCGCACATATTTTATAATTCAATGGCTAATTCTTTCATAACCGCCAGCCTTTGACCTCTGGTCAGAACTGGTCCGAACGATTCACTCAAACTGGAAGATGGGACTGGAAGGATGCAGGTTGACTGCTCTGGAATCCTGGAGTCGGAGCAGTTTTTTCCAATACCGCTTCCCAGGCTCCCTGGGCCGGTAATGGTTCGAGAAGAATGTGTTTTTTGCTGTATAATTTGCTGGGCCATTCCCAGAAGTAATTGCTACTTTCGGCAAATAGATTTATTTTCTTCTTCCTCTTTTTTTATTTTCTTTTTATTAATTTATAGTGAATTAGACAACATATTCGGAACTGTCGAGGAGCAAATACTTTTAAAGAATAATTCAATTAAGGTTTACAAATTGGGTTGGTTTACAAGTAAATGCGTTCATCAATTGTTGAAACGAAAAATTAATGACAACTTGATAATTGTTCATTTCGTCGGATTACAAGATTATAAACAAAATAAAAACACTTGATTTAAAAAAAAAACTGATAAAAGATTATTCTCTCTCAATTAATTTATAATTTCTAGATTAACTTATAATTTATAATTAATTATTAATAGAGGTAATTTAATTATTTTATTCTAAAATGATGACATATTATATTAGTTTATCAGAGGTCAAAAATATGAGTTAACTTCTAAGTTTTAAAAAAGGTTTAAGTTAAACTTATACTTTTTTTTTTTATCTTACGTAGACTTTTTATTGAACTTGAACTTTTTCAATAAAAGTTCACTACAAACAGTTATTCTGAATTTTATTCATAACAGGTTTTTAGATAAAAAAAAAAAAGTTATTTCAGAAATATATTTCTTATATGTTTTATACAATTATATATTCTAAATATATGGTAATTCAAATTCGATAAAAAATCACCTTTAATTATTCTTTCACAACTGTTGTATGTATTTTCATTAAGTGACACACCGTATTTCATGAACTCCGAACGCATCTGGTCTTTTTTACGTATTATCATAATTCACACTGAATCGTAATTCACAAGAAAAAGCTAAAACTAAAACAAAGATGAGAGGTGATAATAATTGGACTTTTTTTGGTCCTCCCCTTCGTCGACTTTAAAGCTATACGGGGGTTTCCCGGCCAGGAGGTGTGGCGAGGATTTAAAAGACTCCCCCGGCACCGAGACGCGAACTCGTGACCATTTTAAATCCATTCTCATATATCAGGTTGCCGGGCAACGGCGGTGATGTACACACACGTTAGCCCGTTCGGCCATCCTGCCCACATATAATGGACCTGGACTTGTTAAGATTTCAGAAAAATAAAATGATAGAATCTACACAGGCGGATGTATGAGGGGGAGGGAGGCTTTCGGGCTGAAACTCTCCTTTCTCTCAAAAATGGTAAAATATAACCATGTTTAAAGAAAAAAAATTATCTCTAAAAGTATTATTGTTCGTCTAATTGCATTTTGTATTAATATTCAATAAAGAAAATATTCAACTAGTCAAAAAAAAAAAAAAAAAAAATTGCATTTAATAGGGCTTAAAGAATCATTTAAAAACCATTTCATATACGTAGCTAGTCTCTTTCTATCTTCTGAAGTAATTATCCTAATATATACATAAAAAAAAAATCTTTCGGGCTGAATCCCCCCAAAGTTAAATCCTGGATCCGTTAGTGGATAGCAGCAATATCCCTATGAATAATCCTATCATCAAAATAAACACCAGTATATGTAAACATTCATTCACTCATTTTCAATTATAACAAATGAAAAGTTTATTTATTAAAAAAGTTTGCTAAATAATTTTAAAATCAAAATTATTTTTAAAAGTTTATGAAGTTTTCGACTCCTGGTATGTTTGCTATTCTTCTAGTTTTGAGAAAATTGAAACATAACAAGAAACGAATGAACTAATACCAACTGAATTCCGATTCGCTATTATTCTTGCAATATGATATGCAGAATAATAAATTATTATTTATATTTTTTTTAGACATTTAGACTGAATCGAACAGTTAAGATAGAATCTAACCCAGTCACGTATCAAAAATATTTTATTATGCTTCAGGAATGCCGGGATGAAGGGAAAACCAGTTATCGGTATTCTTGGCCCACTTCTCTGAAATCCAACCAGTAACAGTTAAAAGCTTCAACCCTTGATATTATAATTAATGATATCGATATAAGAAAATCGATAAAACACAATATCGACATCAATTAGTCAGGTATTTTCGGACGGCCTTTTAAGCCTAATCAATATGATATAAATGGTTTTATATTATGATAATGTAATGTTAGCTATAAATTTTGTAAATATATATATATATATATATATATATATATATATATATATATATATATATATATATATATATATATATAAGAAACAAATTATGCAATTCATGTTCTATATCTATTTTTAATTAGTTAATTAATAAAAAACAATTATTTTAGTTGTCTAAATGACTATTAATATCCAGCCAAATCACTTGGCCAGTTAGAGAAAAAAAAAAATGAAAAATTAGTGGTTTTGAATTAAACAGTGCCACTTATAAGTATTTATTGATGTTGAATTTTTTTTATTATTATTGTATTTGATGTACAATAATTTGAGTATTCATATATTTATTTATAAAATAGCCTTATTTAATAACCAAATAATGATAGATTAATTTATTTCATCAGTTCTATAAATATATATATATTAATTTAAATTATTTTAAATTGTAACCACAAGCTTCTAAACATTATTATGACGTAATAGTCCGTGGTACAGATCTAATTTTATCGAATTATTAACATCCGCCTGAAACTTTGTAAATTGATTCATCTCATCGTAAACTACAACTATTTTATTTACGAAAAATCTTGGAATTGGGTGTGTGCGTTTTCAATCTGGAGGGGTGCAAACTTTGTCTATTTCATTAGGTACTAAAAACCTGTAAATACTCATTTGCTTTCTGCTTGGATCGTAAGATAATTGTTCACAAAATCGATTAAAAAAAAGCGGATTTCAAATATATTGAACCGTTTGGCGTGACATACACCCCCAAATTTTTAAAATAACAAGGTCATATAGGACAATCGGCCCAATATTTTTGTAGGCCACCTTTTTTTATCGATTTCGTGATCAAATTATGTTACGATCCAAGTAGAAAGGAAATGGGTATTTACGAGTTTTTAGTACCTAATTAAATAGACAAAGTTTGCTCCCCTCCAGATTGAAAACGCCTCGATTCCAAGAGTTTTCTTAAATAAAATAGTTGTAGGTTACGATGAGATGAAACTATTTACGAAGTTTCAGGCGGATGTTAATAATTCGATAAAAAGGGGTCTGTACCACCGACTATAATGTATTGTAACAAATAAAATAATTAAGTCAAAAATATTGATATTAACAAAAAAATAAATATATTTTACTTTCTTTCTACTGATAAGATCGAGGATTCCGAAAGCTTAAAAACATCTTGAGACAACACTAACCATTTAGCCAAAAAAAAAGTTATGAATAGAGGCTACGAACGAAAAACATTTTATGAAAAAGGAGACTTTTTTATGGAAAAAGAAATGTTTTAAAAAATAGCATAGATTTGTAATAGACCAAGATTAATTTATTTATTTTAACATAATTACTGTATATATTTTTTTAAACTGTTGATATTTTAGTATGTATATAATGTAAGAAATATGGTTACAGTTCTAAGACATGTTATCTTTGAACGTGGCAGTTTGTATTATAATTCAATAAAAATAGTCATTAAAAAAAATTATTTTGGTAAAATTTATTTTTTTTAAAAAAGTTTGGAAAGTACAATATTTTATAAATATTAATGTATTGAAGTAGTGTTAAAGTACAAACTAAACTTAAAACAAGACAGAAGCAAGTGACGACAGTTCAAGGCTCGAACTTAAATACACCGACGGACATTCTTCGCGTGCTGTATGGCGCCTCCTTTAAATAACACGGTTGGGCGTTGTAAATGTTTATTGTTTTTGTAATATGATATTGTACATGGCAGCTAGTGCTATTATTTCGTCTAATGAAGACTAAAATTAATTCATTCCACTTCAATAAAAAAAAAAATAATTTTGTTGTTACAGATAAATGCATGACATGATAAGGTTTGTAGAGAATCAACCCATTGGTAGCACTCTAATAAAGTTCCTAAATTAGGAGATCACGAGGCCATCTTCTTTTCAGACGCCTAGGAGGGTTATCAGGAATCGAGGAAGGAGCAAGATAAGAAACGAGATGATTAGGATGGTTCTGAAGTTTATTATGGAAGGAGAGGTATCTGGATTGAGCCAAATCAGAAACATATGGAACATTCAGGTCATTATGGATTATTTTATTTTTATTTATTTTTTTTAAGTCCAAATAGGTCTTATTATGGTCATGTATATGGGTCCTTTGTAATTAATTGAAAGGTTAGAGCGTTTGTCTAGTGAGTGCTGAAGTAGTCGGAAACTTCGAGCGGTTGGTTTCTTGTCGTTTCAGTCTGGTATGAGGGTTCAATAAAAATGAAATAAAATCAGTGCGGTTTTTTTTTCTAAACAATAATGGATGTTTAAAAAAATATGTATGTATATACTGATATCTACAAACGATTTCCATCACAGCAATTTAAAATATCTGTTTCGATTAAAGCAGGTTATGGAGGCAGAGAAGTTTTAGGTTTGAGTGATGGGAAGTCATTTTAGTGTTATTTGTTATTCTAAAATATGTTATAAGTAATTCTAGCGCACGTAAAAAAATAAATAAAGAAATACTAATATTTCCTGGTGTTCCAAGGCCAAGAACACAAACCATATTGGAACAGGCAGACGGCAGACGTATTCAGCAGCTGTTACCGAAGTCACAATTACTGAACAGATGGCTTGCGGCTAATTCTACCATATACAATCCATATTTTTTCATCAAGGCCTTATCCAAATACTACAATATATATATTCCGAATTATTACAATTCTTCGCAAAGGACGAGAAATTTAAAAATTGTGATTTTAATTGAGTCAATAATATAACCGTTATCATATTTACAACTTATAAAATGAATTTTTTGTCTCAAAATGAATGATTATCATCGTAAATACATTATTATCAATAAAATAGATTTATTGTGCCCCAATAATTGTTACATTGAAATACAACGCAAAAAATTTAGTTACAAGTTACTGAATTAGTGATTAGCATGTGCCATTAGAAAATATCTCTCCAATTTAATAATTAAGCAATAAAACAAAGCTGTCTCAGAGCTTATATTAATCCATTATTGTACCCGTTCAAGACATATAGGTGCAGAAGAGCTTAAGTCAAGTAAGTTTCTATATTATCGGAAGTGCATACAAAGAATCATAGAGCTATTCTCCTCCACTTACCTTATAAATAAATTTTTGTTATTCAAAAATTAACATAATTAAATAATTTTTTTAAATCTTAACATTAAGTGTTCGAGAACTATACCGGGTCTTAATAACTGTGTATTTTAGTGTATCTCGTATAGATTCGTTGACTTCGAAAAAATGAGGGTTTTGAAACCTCTCTATTTCTTTTAATTTTATTAAAGTTGTTGAAGAAATTTAATTAACGAAATTGGGATTCATCAGTTCTCCATGAAGTTCTCTTTCGTTTGAAAATTTACGAGCCTGAAAAGATGATCTATACTACAGTATTATATATCAGGGTTTGAAAACGATGATTAAAAATATTAAAATAAAATTGGTCGAAATTTATATATGGAATTTAAAAAAGTCATTAGACGGTTTTTATTAAGAGTTATTTTTATTTTTGAGTATAACTGATAAAAACATACCCTGACGATTTTTTTAAACAAAATTTTACAATTAATAATAATAATAATAATAATTCTTCAATAATACTATCTAAAATTCAAAATATAAATTTTCTGTAATTTCTAAGAAATATTTTGAGCCTGGAGTAGTAGGTTGAGAATATAGTTGTCAACAATCAGCAACAGATCATCATTATTTCCAAAATTTATTAGAAATTTTGGCTTACAATATATAAATATATATATTGTACCGCGTGCACAATTAAAATGAGTTCAGACATATAATATTAAAAAATGTGTACATTGATAATGTATGTATACATATTAATATATAATTTAATTTGTGATTAAAAGGGGATTTTTATTTTCTGATCAACATTTTTTTAAACACAATTTAATAATTATTATTTATGTAAAATCGTATCACTCAGTGAGTGATAATTATTTTTAATCGACTAAATAGACATCAAAGATAAATTAATTTTTTTACATATAAACCGGGCACGATTTTAAAATTAAAAATCAAATATAATAATTATTACATAAATTTATGAAAAAAATAATTATCGAATTCAAACATTGTTATTTACAGTATATATTACATACAGTGTGTGTAAATGGATCGTGTATTTGATAAAATTAAAATTATTCAGTTCACATTGCGGTCAACTCATTTTCAAGAGTTGATGAACGAATTTGGTTGACAATTAAATGATTAGAAGAAGTAAGTGTTGTCAAAAGTCTTGCTGAAACTACAAGTTGAGTATTTCGTGAGTGATGAACACGAACGCAAACCGAAACATCCTGAATCGGGCTAAATTAATTCAGTCCTTACGAGACAAGTCAATAGAGTTTCTAGCAATCAGAAGAAGTCTTGTTTGAGGCTCGTTATAGGAGGGATATTACAGACCTCCGGGCCACTAAATGCTCTACGCGGTCGTGAATCCCGAACTCGTGAGAACAGAACTCAAAAGAAGCGGGCAGACGAAAATACAGCCGCTGTAGAAATTAACCTTTTTGCTCTCAAAAGGCAGAGAGGAAGAACCTTATGAAAGAGCTCCTCTCCAAAGATAATTGGCGGGAAGAGTCGGCGCTAAATTACAGAGGGCTGCACCCCCCTACCTGGGCTTCGGCTCTTCCATTTAATGGAAACAAATCGTTCACTATAGCTCTCCGGTCCGCTGCATTATCGGCTAATAGTACCGACTGGTAATGGTCCACATTTACCTGCATCTTCCCCTAGCTTGGATAATTAACGAGCTGGTAGCCCGCGGCCCTATAATAATAATAATAACTAAAAATAAGACCCATTTCCAGTTCCCACAGAAAAGGCCGGTACAATTTTCTTCCGAGTAATGTTTTGGCATGGTTCGCGTTCCTATACCTTACCGGAAAAAAAAAGAAGAAAAAGTACTCGTTCATTAGACCGTGTTCCAATGAAGTAAGATTGGTTTTCAGCTAATAATGCTATAATGAGGGAGGGAGGTTTGGGATGAAGCCCTTCCAAAATAATTAATAAATAATTTGTTACTGTGAATGATCCAAACTAAATACTTGAAGGGTGAGAGGGCGGGGTGGCCGAGCGTGTTAACGCCTTTTTTAATGACCGCATTGGCTAAAAATCTGATAAGCTGAAGATTATAAATACGAGTTCCGGTACCGAGAGCATTTAACTCCTGGCATTATTCTCATACTCCGGGAGAACTCTGCCTAGCTGAGAAAGCGAGGTAGATGAGAAAAAAACACAAACAATAGCTAAATACTTGACCAATCACAATATATTTTCATATTAAATAATAATGCATACACAACAAAGTATAACTTGTAAGGGAAAATATTAAAAAAGTTCCTCTAACAGTAAAAATGAAACAAAATTAATTTTTAAAAAAAATCCCCCAAAATTAAATTCTAGATACGCTACTACCCATAAGTAAAATAGCTTACGTTGATTATTGAACTATCAATAAATGTCAATAAGATATTTTTTTTTTAATATTTTAATTTTAATCTCACTCAGTAAAATATATCTGAAAGATAAGAGTAGCAAAATAGTTGTAGGGTATATTTCTATTTTTAAAATTAACTAGATTTAATCATATTTAATAACAAAAAATTTAGTGTTTGAATATTACAACAATTTGAACTTTACAATAAAGTCAATTTAAATAGATTAATAAGCAATCATTTTAAAAATAAACAAATCAAAAATGTATTGAAATTTTCAATTTTTAAATAGTTCCATTGAAATCTCAAAAATATTTTTAGCTAATTCAATTCATAAAAAACATGTACATGATATTGAATGATGAAATAAGTACCTAGATCATTCTTATAGTTATATAATAATAGAAGGAAGATGGTTTCCTTTAGCGTTGTTCACAATACTTGAACTTTACAATAGCTTTGTTTACAAGTACAAGGCAAAAAATAAATAAATAAATAAAAAATAAAATACAATTCATACAGATTAGTCATGGTAAAACCATCTTTTTTTAAAAATTAATTTTAAAAAACGGCCAAAACACAACATCTATAGACGAATTAGTCAAACCCAAAATGCCTCACGGAGACATAGTGAAGAAAATTAGAGACTTATAAAGTTATAATTTATTTAAACCTATTGAGAAATAATTATTTTCCTCCTCCAATTTAAATAATTTAAGTAAAATTGTTTATTCATTTTTATTTAAGCAAAGAGTGCTCAACCATGAAAATAAGTACAGAAGTATGTTCAATTAGAATAGATAAGAATTATTGAGTCAGAAAAAAATATATGTAATTTCATAAAAATAGGAATTACTTGAAAGAAAAATAACTAATTAATAAAAATATTAATTAAATTTCTTTATATAGTCAATAATTTATAATATTCATAACAATATGTAATGTAATTATAAAACTGTACGTGATGCTGATTTGATTTAGTAGCTCGAGTTGTGCATTATAATGTCGAAATATATACTTCAAATCATATATTTTCTATTGAAAACGTAACGCTGGATTAATTACATTAATTCTCGAGTACTTTAACAGTAATTATGCTAGACACAGAAACTATTAAATAATAAATATTAGAGACTCTAGGAAGTGTGCAAGGTTAACTAGATTTATAGGCGGAGGGCCGTATTAGTATTGGCGCTTTGGTCTATTGAATCACAAGTGTCGATAAATACTTGCGCCAATCAATAAATAACTAATCATAATTTATGAAGCAAGCATGTTAATTGTGAAGTCTCTAAATATAATTATCTAAATATATACTAAGATCGATTATTCATTAGCAAATTTACATGATTCAAAAGTAAAACATTGTACCCTAAAATACGCCTAACATGACATAAAAAAAAAAAATTAAAGTGTCAAACTTTGCAATAAAATAGAAAAAAATTACTTCATTAATAACAACGAACGTATTTGACTTAAAATATACTATCTATAACGAAAACTATATTATAATATGTAGGTACATATCATACACCCAGAATTGCGATTTTGATTGAAAAAAAAAATGGCGGAAGTATTAGGGATAAAAATTCAACATAATTATTACGAAACGAACAAATATAATATCGAATATTTAAAATTGATATGTTTATATGTTTGTATAGTTATAAGAATTTTTTTTTTGTTTACTTATTATGTATACTTAAATAAACCTATAAAAAAATACAATTGAATATATAAAGTATTTGTTTAGATTAAACACAAGGGTGAGGGGAAATAAACTTCATAATATTAATATATTTCTAGAACGTTCTAAGCTAAAAATGAATAATGTAAAAAAGTGGAAATTATCTTTGTCTTCTCAGTGTGTACAACCTCAAATAAAAAAATACAACGATTTTCACGGTCCGATTAGTTTGTCGTGGAAGATATGATAAGAGTGTGACGTGAAAAATGAGGGGTGATTGAATCATAAAACAGTTGAACCATTTATATTTTAATATTAATGACAATTTTAATGAAAGTAAACTTTAGGTATAATTAAAATAGCTAAATACCTATTACTAGGCTTAGCCTAGTCGACATTTCTTAGTCGATTGTAGTTTCCACATTTTATTCATTCATGTTACTTATTTATAATTGATTTTAATTTTTTTTAGCTATAATAGGGAGGGAGGAGAGAGTAGGCAAAGCGATATTCTTTACCCCTAAATATTTTTATTATTGAGGGAGGGAGCGATTGCCACTGCACCTATAGTACATATTGAGTTTCTACTGTAAAGAAAAAATAAAATCAAACATTTCCTTTAATATGAAAACATTTTTTTATCAACAATATTTTAATATATAGTATGTAGGTATTGTTTATTCACTCATGTGGAATCCAATACAATCATCGAGCAAAAACTGAAAAGAAAAGGGGAAAAAAATAGCAGAAACTCAAAAGTTCCTCAGTTTTAGAATAAAAATAGATTAAGCCGTATGAAAACAAGATTCGGTTTATTTCAATCATTATTGCCAAAATGTTTTCATTAAAATTAATTACCAACATCATTTTGATATTAATTAAATCACCTGTCCCTCACGGTTTGGCTATTGAACAAAATTAAGATGGATGTTTTTGTTTATATTTACAAATATTGTTTACTGCTTTAAATTTAAATAAAATAAAAATAAAAACAATGTTCTATTACTATTAATACAATGAAATATCCACAAAAATACAAAAATAAATGTTTATCAAGCCTGCATGTAATAATTTATATATTATATTTGGAAAAAATTTGGCAAACAATTTATTTTTAAATTCTGAGATTTTATTACAAATTTTAGTATTCTATAAAATAAAAGAGCTGTTCCTTATAACTTGGTTGAGAAAGTAAGTATGTTTTATTTCAAATTTTTAAAGAATTAAAATCAGGATGATTTAAAATACAGTTAAAGTAATAATTGGTTGTTCGTTTAGACGAGGTCTGAAAAAAAAAATGTTACTGTTAAATTGAAACGGAGTCTGCTATTCCCTAAAATTGATAATGAAAATTACTCATCATCAAAAAAAAATATTATATCCAACGCGTAAAACGGATAACCATGAAATGAATCATATCCATACAAATAAACTCACAAAAGAAAAAGACACAGACTCCGAGCTGTTTTGATAACGAACGACATGGATTACAATAAAAAGGATTCGGAATAGAAGAGGATGGCAATAAAGGCTAAGAGGTAACGATAAAAGACCCATTGAGCACAGAGCCGTTCTCAAGGGAAAGCCTAATAACTGGTTACTCCTGAGCAATGCGCAATTAATAACCTCAGGTACAATGGGGAGGGAATGGAGCACTAAGGAGGGAATGTTCTTTAGGACGACGGGGAGGAGTATTTATTGATTGCAGTCGGGATCGAGGAGAACGAGAACATGCAGCCCCTATCTACGCACATGTCCCAGATCTAGGTACCAGTCTGCTAGATTTGCATCGGAATGGCGATTATAGGAAGATGGATAGTTGTAGGTTTGGAATTATGCAAAGGTCAACTGTAGTATAGCGAGCAGCTCCTAGAGTTATCTTTCAATATGAATAAACTAATGAGGTAGTGTTAAGCACTAGTGCATCCACAAGGATGAGGAAGACTTTGGGCTGAAGCCCTTCCAAAATGACAAAATATTATCATTTTAAATTATAACGCTTGTATTTCAGGCCTTATAACTTAAAAAGCGAGCTTATGGTGATTGTTTAAGTATTTAGATAATAAATGTAAATAGATATAAAAAAAAATACAAAAAAGTGTTCAGAACAACATAAAAATATAGACAAATATTTTCCAGGCTAGTTAATGACAAAAAAAATCCAAACCTTCAAAAATCAAACACGAAATTCACAGCAATACATACTGATTCCAAAATCTGTTGAGAAGCGGATAGACCGAATCATTTTTTCCCCGTTAGTTCCAGTAGCCACCAAAACACCACTCTTGACCAACCCTAACCAATACCTGACGTTTTGTGTACTTAAAAAAATGAGTTGTACCCCTCCCCCCACTCTAAAAAAAAAAAGAAAAAAAGTCGACAACGACTATGTTTAAATGATATTGAAATATTTAAGATCTT